TCCCTACCCCTCTCCTCCCTGTCCGATGCTACGTTCCCTGAATATAAACTTTTTAAACTTCTTTCAGGTCTCTCTTGATGAGTTGTGTTGCAATGTGATGAGTCTACACTGGTAGATGAACAGATCTGTAGCCCATCTGTTAATGTGTCCTAAAACACCTCCTGGCCTTCTTATCCAATAAAGTGTCTGAATGTTACTCTGTTAATTATGCTGTGTTTGATTATTTTATATCACTGCGGTTGTATTTTTGCTCATGTATTATAGCATCTTCCTGGAAGGAGGAGGAGGGTCTTTGTCTGCTGTGTTTATAGTATAAGTGAATGAAAGATTGTACTTCTTTTGTGTAAGAGTCCTTTCATGGATCACATAGTCCTGTCCTGCCATATCATCGGGTAAGAAGTTCAGCAGCAGTGATCATCTCATACTAATGCCAGACTTCAGAGTAGTTTCAGTATTTTCATCAATAAAAGAATTTTCTTGGATGCCATTTTCTGTGCCGTGTACTGTTCAGCATTTGTAAGGAGGTTTCAGCTGAACTTTCAATCTTTTTAATAAAGATGGACTTTTTCATCCTCACCTGTGTGGGCTGCCATTCTTGCAGTGCCATGCTCCTGACTTGTAATGATTTTATTTGCTCCATAGAACTGTGACAGCATAACGCCTCCCCCATGTGTGTCATAGATAAGCCAAAGCATGGTTTGAAATCTTCTTGTATTGGCTACTGGTGCATACAAATGCATGTTCAATTAGCTTAAGGAGATTGAGAAGTCTTATTTGTCTTACGTGCTTTGTGGGTCTCTTTTTTTTCCCCTCTTTTTTTTCTTTTTTTCTTTTTTTCTTTTTTTCTTTTTTTCTTTTTTTCTTTTTTTCTTTTTTTCTTTTTTCCTTTTTTCCTTTTTTCCTTTTTTCCTTTTTTCCTTTTTTCCTTTTTTCCTTTTTTCCTTTTTTCCTTTTTTCCTTTTTTCCTTTTTTCCTTTTTTCCTTTTTTCCTTTTTTCCTTTTTTCCTTTTTTCCTTTTTTCCTTTTTTCCTTTTTTCCTTTTTTCCTTTTTTCCTTTTTTCCTTTTTTCCTTTTTTCCTTTTTTCCTTTTTTCCTTTTTTCCTTTTTTCCTTTTTTCCTTTTTTCCTTTTTTCCTTTTTTCCTTTTTTCCTTTTTTCCTTTTTTCCTTTTTTCCTTTTTTCCTTTTTTCCTTTTTTCCTTTTTCTTTTTTTCTTTTTTTTTCTTTTTTTTTCTTATTTTTTCTTTTTTTCTTTTTTTTTTTCTTCATATGTGGTTAAAGTGGTTTGAACAGTCTAGAAAACCTCTTGGCTGTGCCACCTCTATTGTCTGTGATGCACATAGCTGAAAACGGATGCAAAGAAGACAATGTGTGAAGGATTTGTGAAACATGATTTCAGTTTTTGCTTCTACTTTAAAATCCATCTGAGTAGAAGAGAATGAAAGAAGTTCCTGCAGTGAAGTTTGGTAACTACAAAACATTGTGGAGTTAATGCTTTTACCTGCAACACTATCTTACTATCATTGTCTGCTTTGAAGTGATTTCCTGTTTGGGTTTGCAGGACATTTTGTGATTATAAGACATACAGGCATGGGAAATATTTTTCAGCCTTTCTGAGGTGCAGAGTGGGTCCCGACATCATAGCATTTGGAGATGGTTTTAGAGGATAAAATGCAGAATAGCAAGGCATCCAGATATGCATGAGCTGTACTCAAGAATCCTCCCAAAGAAATTTGATAAAGCTCTTTTCTGAATCTGCAGAAATCACTCTGCTGAGTATCCTTTAGCAAGACAGCATGTTGGATGTTTTACTACTACTGTAATTTTTCTGCACTTGCTCTTATAACACACTGTAATGCTTTGTCCTGGTAGTAGGCAGAGTCTGTTAGTAGTCAGCTTAAACCCATTTTAAAGAAACTGGACCTCTAATAGAAAATGTTTAGAGATTTGAAATTCATGCAGCATTGAACACCTTTTTGTCCAGTGCCTGTCTAGGTGGAGGCTGTAATTCTACTTGTCCGCAGATGGCAGCATTGCTCTTCCAACACTGCTGCAGCACCCTGCGGTCCCTGTGCCCTAGGCTGAGAGATCCTCTGCCAGGCAGACAAGGGCCACTGCAGAGCGCTAGGATTGTCCTGATACCTTTGACTTTGTTCCACAGCCTAAAAAAAACCTGATTTCTTCAGGACAATGGAAAAAGGAGACTTTCCAAATACGTAGTTAAAATTACCTAATTTTTTTGTCTTTACAGGAATTTGTGTTTGCAAGATTTTTTAGTGTTTGTCTGGTTGTACCTCATTGAGTGTCCTGTAGTGTAAGGAAACTTGGAAGGTAAATGGCTGCAGATAAATTTCTAATGTGCAGATTATGTCTTGACAGATGCTTCTGGCCCAGGCAGGTAATGGCAGAAACAGGCATTTGAAGAAAGTCAGTCAGCTCTATCTTACATTTTTAAAGCCTTTGCTGATGGCTTAATAAGATTATTCTGGTCAGATGCTGAGGGATGAGCTTTCAAAAGAGTATAGGCAAGCTGTGCAGCAAAAAAAAAGAAAAAATGCAGTGTCTGCACACTCTGAGATGTACTTCTGTTCAGTCAATTGCTTTTAACACATCTTGAATCGCTGTTGGAAAATCTTAATACTTTTATAGTGTTTTTAGGAGCTTGGACTACATTCTCCCCATTTCTCGGGTGAGTAGACTGAGTCACTGCTGCTTAATCAAGGTCATGGTCCTTGGAGGAGAGTACTTAACAGTTCTCCTTTCCAGTCTGGTACCTTAGTAACTTGGCCTTTCTCCTCACATATTGGTTTGTCTTTTAGGTCACTGGTAGATTATTTTTATTTAAATCACCTTTGGTTGCTATATACTTGACTTTTGCACCTGCTGAATTACATATTTAAGGAATGACATGCTGCTCTGGCTTTTTAAAGCTGTTTTTAATTTTAAGCTGGAGCTAAATATCTAGGCAAGTTGCAATCTATAGCTCCCAGAACTGCTAAAAAACTTGTAAGTTTTAATAAAACAGCATGGCTGGCTTATTGCAGCTGTATGTCTAAAGGAAACAGGCCCAGCACCAGACAGAATAATGCCCATGCTTTAGTGTCTGAAATAAGGCTTTTACTCTTCTCTGTAACTCAGAGTAAGACCCAAAATGAACATGTTTATCAAGTTTTCTTTTACACATTCTTCTGATGATAACTCTTAACACTGTCAGTGCTTATCCTTTCTATATATTTGCCTTTCTATATAGTTAGATCACAGGAAAGCCCATGTTCTAATCCAGATATTTCAGTGGCCACATGGATTTGTCTGAATGAGAAATACTTGAAGGACATAGTTCAGCATTCCTTTGGGGTCAGCTGAGAGAGCATGACTTGCTTCAACATTCAAGTCTCACTGATCAGCAGGCACAGTGGGTTACTGACCAAGTGTATCTATACCCTTGGAAGGAAACCTGTGCTTGGGCATCTGTCCCAGACTTCATGTGTGCACTGTCCTGGGAAAGAAGTTCACACACTGGAATTCACAACCTCTGCACGTGAAGACTGAAATGATTTTTAAAAACAGAACAAATCCCAATGAAACTACAACCCCTGACTGTCCTCTGCTGACTTCACATTAGGCTGCCAAGGCCGGAGTGGTTTGAAGAATTAAAAATCTATGGCACCATTGTGCTGCTTTCTTATGAAAACAATAAGAAGGAGAATCTGCTCGTTAATCAGGTGGCTCTGTCAATAATGAATCAACGTGAACGTGATGGCTGAAAGATGTGTCACATAGGCAGTTTGTCAGGGAGCAAGGGAAGCAGTGAGAACCTCTCTAAACCACAGGATCTGGCACGCTGTTCAAAGAGTTTGAATGTGATGAGGGCTCAGCAACAGAAGAGGTTAGAGTCTGCCTCCTACAGTCTAACTCTTGCTTGGCACCTTTCAGATGTCCTAGCCTAGACTAATACTGGGCAGCTCTGCGGTTCTGGCAGTGTTTTTAGGTGCTAACTGAGGTGGGAGATCCTGGTACCTGCTCTTTGTTCTAGTGCTAGAGCAGTGGCTAGTTTGATGACTAGGAAATGCTGAGTAGCTCAGCAATTTTAACAAAGGCTAGAGTTTTCCTTCTCTTCTTTTAGGGTAGAAAGTTCTTTTAGGCAGTGTTTTTCCCCACAATTTGTGTGGGAAACAGTGCCTTGTCACTGATTTAGCACAAAGAATAAAGACAATGCATATTTTTAGTGTAAGTAAGCCAAAAAAGAAGGCCTGCTCCCTGAATTGGCTGACTTACTAGTGGTAAAGGAATAAACCAAATGCCTGTTCCATGTAAGGGGTAAATTCAGGCAATTTGCATCTCCTGCAGTTGCAAATAAGGCTGTGAAACATGACCATGTGTGGGAAATAAGCACTTTCTCAGACTTTGATCTAATGGAAAGCGGGTCTAATAAACCATCTTCCCAGTCTTGTTAGGCTCTGTCCCAAGGGTTGATGAAATTACTTCAGATAGATTATAAATTACTCTCTGTATGGTGTAAGGCCACTGTATGCCA